TAGCAGAGATTGTTGAGGAAGAGGAGAGGGCAGGCTAGCAGAGATTGTTGAGGAAGAGGAGAGGGCAGGCTAGCAGAGATTGTTGAGGAAGAGGAGAGGGCAGGCTAGCAGAGATTGTTGAGGAAGAGGAGAGGGCAGGCTAGCAGAGATTGTTGAGGAAGAGGAGAGGGCAGGCTAGCATAGATTGTTGAGGAAGAGGAGAGGGCAGGCTAGCAGAGATTGTTGAGGAAGAGGAGAGGGCAGGCTAGCATAGATTGTTGAGGAAGAGGAGAGGGCAGGCTAGCATAGATTGTTGAGGAAGAGGAGAGGGCAGGCTAGCATAGATTGTTGAGGAAGAGGAGAGGGCAGGCTAGCAGAGATTGTTGAGGAAGAGGAGAGGGCAGGCTAGCAGAGATTGTTGAGGAAGAGGAGAGGGCAGGCTAGCATAGATTGTTGAGGAAGAGGAGAGGGCAGGCTAGCAGAGATTGTTGAGGAAGAGGAGAGGGCAGGCTAGCAGAGATTGTTGAGGAAGAGGAGAGGGCAGGCTAGCATAGATTGTTGAGGAAGAGGAGAGGGCAGGCTAGCAGAGATTGTTGAGGAAGAGGAGAGGGCAGGCTAGCATAGATTGTTGAGGAAGAGGAGAGGGCAGGCTAGCAGAGATTGTTGAGGAAGAGGAGAGGGCAGGCTAGCATAGATTGTTGAGGAAGAGGAGAGGGCAGGCTAGCAGAGATTGTTGAGGAAGAGGAGAGGGCAGGCTAGCAGAGATTGTTGAGGAAGAGGGGAGGGCAGGCTAGCAGAGATTGTTGAGGAAGAGGAGAGGGCAGGCTAGCATAGATTGTTGAGGAAGAGGAGAGGGCAGGCTAGCATAGATTGTTGAGGAAGAGGAGAGGGCAGGCTAGCAGAGATTGTTGAGGAAGAGGAGAGGGGCAGGCTAGCATAGATTGTTGAGGAAGAGGAGAGGGCAGGCTAGCAGAGATTGTTGAGGAAGAGGAGAGGGCAGGCTAGCAGAGATTGTTGAGGAAGAGGAGAGGGCAGGCTAGCAGAGATTGTTGAGGGAAGAGGAGAGGGCAGGCTAGCAGAGATTGTTGAGGAAGAGGAGAGGGCAGGCTAGCAGAGATTGTTGAGGAAGAGGAGAGGGCAGGCTAGCAGAGATTGTTGAGGAAGAGGAGAGGGCATGCTAGCATAGATTGTTGAGGAAGAGGAGAGGGCAGGCTAGCAGAGATTGTTGAGGAAGAGGAGAGGGCAGGCTAGCATAGATTGTTGAGGAAGAGGAGAGGGCAGGCTAGCAGAGATTGTTGGTGCAAAAGGAGAGGGCAGGCTAGCAGAGATTGTTGAGGAAGAGGAGAGGGCAAGCTAGCAGAGATTGTTGAGGAAGAGGAGAGGGCAGGCTAGCAGAGATTGTTGAGGAAGAGGAGAGGGCATGCTAGCATAGATTGTTGAGGAAGAGGAGAGGGCAGGCTAGCAGAGATTGTTGAGGAAGAGGAGAGGGCAGGCTAGCATAGATTGTTGAGGAAGAGGAGAGGGCAGGCTAGCAGAGATTGTTGGTGCAAAAGGAGAGGGCAGGCTAGCAGAGATTGTTGAGGAAGAGGAGAGGGCAAGCTAGCTGAGATTGTTGAGGAATTTCTCTCCTAAATTTAAATAAATTAGCTTTAAATCGAAACGGAACCAGCCTAAATTTAAATTGGAAATTTACTATAAATGCATCCACTATTCCTTGGGACCTGTTTTTCTATCTTTTTCTAATCAAAAACGCGCTAGTCGTTTCATTCGTTTTACTTGACCTAACCGTCATCAACGTCGTCAACTTCATCTCCTTTAAAGGTAACAGGCTGATTCTGGATCGATGATTCGGAAACAATTTTTAATTGATGGTGAAAGCTACATTCTTTAGCTCAGTCGGTAAAAACCCCGAATGACAAGTCAGGGGTCAAGGGTTCGATTCCGGGAGCCGTCAAACCTTTGCTTTTTGCTCAAAAATAACGAAAACGGCTAGATCTAAATTTTCTGACCAAGTATGCTCTAAAATTCTGCTAATTTTCAGTCATCCCCCCCCCCCCTAATGTCGGGGAAAAAGGCGAAGCCGAAGCCGCCCGACATGGAGGTGATCCGGGCGCTGAGCCGCCGACTGCTGCTACGACTCGTTCAGCCAAAGTTCGCAGAGCCGAAGCGACGTGTGGGTCCCAAAGAATCTCTGCTGGCCTGCCGTTTCCTCTTCCTCAACAATCTCTGCTAGCCTGCCCTCTCCTCTTCCTCAACAATCTCTGCTAGCCTGCCCTCTCCTTTTCCTTAACAATCTCTGCTAGCCTGCCCTCTCCTCTTCCTCAACAATCTCTGCTAGCCTGCCCTCTCCTTTTCCTCAACAATCTCTGCTAGCCTGCCCTCTCCTCTTCCTCAACAATCTCTGCTAGCCTGCCCTTTCCTCTTCCTCAACAATCTCTGCTAGCCTGCCCTCTCCTTTTCCTCAACAATCTCTGCTAGCCTGCCCTCGTTCAGGTCCCGTTCCTTTCCATCGAGATCGAGCAGGTGTTGCGCGGGACGAAACACATCCTCATCACCGAGCCGATGCTGATCGAAATGAGACCGCCGCTGATCATCGTCGGCGACATCCACGGCCAGGTTTGATTTTGAGGAGAGGGCAGGCTAGCAGAGATTTTTGAGGAACGAACTTCAAACCGAACTTTCAGTACCTCGACCTGCTGCACATCTTCGAGATGTTCTCCACCAACAACCGCGACATATCGAGCAAGAAGAAGCGAGACGATGCCGACGACAACCCGGCCGGCGAGAACTGGAATGGCTTTATTTGCGAAAAGTAGGAAGGCAGGCTTAACCGACCGATCACTATGGATTTTGTGCTTTGTTCGTTCCTTTAAAGCGGACTTACCTTTTTCAGCTACCTCTTCCTGGGTGATTATGTCGATCGAGGGCCCCGTCAAATCGAGGTGATCATGCTGCTCTTCGTCTGCAAGATCTTGTGGCCAAGACAAGTAGTTGTAACGTACGACGTAGCGTAAACTTTCGCCTATTCAGTACGGCCTGCTACGCGGCAACCACGAGAACGCGATCACCAACCTGGCGTACGGCTTCGAGCAGGAGCTGAACTATCGGTTCTATGTGAGCTAAAATCGTTCTTATCGTTTTATTTTCGCAAGATAAATAGAGCAGGTTTTTCTAAATGTTTTTTTTTCTTATTTCTAGGCGTGAAAACTTTACAAATTTTCATTAAAAACATCATTTTCGGCGAGAAATTACCAAAAATGTCGACGTTTTCAATACTTTTTCACGAGATTTTTGGCCAACTTTCACTAGCTTTCAAATAGAAAACCTTTTAAGAGTTAGAAAGAAAAGTAGAGAAAAAAATGTAGATTTGGGGATTTTTAGTTAAGAAACACACAATTTTCGGCTAAAATCTCGCTTCCTAATCCAATTTTTTTTAAGTTTCTATACTGAAGTAAAGTTAAAAAGTAAAGAAAACACATCTTCTCCATTTTAACGTCGATCTAGCAATTTTTTATCCCTCTTTCTTTTAGTTTTATACGCTATAAAACAATGCAAAAACACGCTCTCAATTTACATCGACGAGCTAACGCCGAAAAGCTCGAAGGAAAACGAGAAAACAAGTCTTGTTTCGCTTTCGTTTTAGCTTCTAATTTCTAAGTATCCAATTTAGGACGGCAACGCGCTGTGGGCCCAGTTCAACAACGTGTTCGCCATGCTGCCGGTGGCCGCCCGGGTCGGCAGGCGCATCCTCTGTATGCACGGCGGCCTCAGTCAGCTTTTCAAAACGAGCACATCCTCACAGACTAAATTGGATTGACATTAAAAGAAAATTACCTTCCTTTTAGGCAAGGGCATGAAGTCGCTGGACGACATTCGGCGGCTCAAAAAAACCGGTGCGCAGCGTGTTCGATGTGATGCTCGTCCGGGATCTGCTGTGGAGCGACCCGGCGCCTGGAAGAGGGTATGCGCTTCAGGCTTCAGCTTTTTCACCGAGCGAAAGTTTCTCTAAACTAGCTTTTACTACTCCTAAACGGGAAAGCGTTAGAAATTTTTATTCAAAATACACAAGATATCGGTTTTCGACCAAATATCGACTTTTTCCAAAATTTTTTTAATTTTATATAGTTTTTCTAGTAAATATAGTTTTATTTTACTAAAAACACTATAAAAATGTTTTCTATTAAGTCATTAGGCTGTCTAAAACTAAAAAAAAAATCCTATTCGAAGAACAGGTACCTACAACCCGTTTTCAGATTCAGCAAAAACCACAAACGCAACGCCGGCTGGCTGTTCGGCGAGAATGAGGTGCGCAAGTTCTGCGCCCGCATGAAGCTCGACCTGATCGTGCGCGGGCACCAGGTAGGCGCGCCGGGCTCCTCGCCTAGCCAGCAAAACAACAACACGAAAACAGTGCGTGCAGAACGGGTTCCGGTTCTTTTGCGGGCGAAAGCTGCTCACGCTCTTCTCGGCGCCGCGATACGCCGGCTCCGGGCGCAACATCGGCGCCGTGCTCGTGGTGCGTCGCGACGGGCGGCTCTCGATACGCCAGTTTCGTGCTATCAATGGAGAAGATCCAGGTGGGAAAGCTGGTGCTTCTAAAAACGGCTTCAAAACTTTAAAAGTTTTGAAACTATGTTTTTAACTAATAGTTATGATAAATCGGCTCGAAAAGCGCTCTTAACTGTAAGACATCGCATCGAAAAGCCCACTACAAACCTTCTACAGGGCCAGATCGCTATAACAAGGACTACTGCGACGGGCTGGACGACGACTCGAACACGAAAACTGGTAGCTCAAGCAGGGCATCGGTATGTCATCAGCAATCGTCAAAGACTTTATTGCTTTCAGCCACCACCAAGCCAACCACCGCACCTCTCCGAAAAGCTGCCAGGATGAACCCCCAACAATTCCCTCTTTGTGCTTTTATTATTAATAAAAACTTGTTAAATTATCAACAATTTATTTGGGGTAACAACTTGCAGCAACGAGCAAAACGATATGTGCAGGAGGGTGCCAAATCAGAAGCGCAGCTTGGTGAAGAACCACTTGTTCTTGCCCGACTTGTACCGCTCCTCGAAACGTGCCTTGGCCTCGATGCAGGCGCGGGTCTTCTTGCCGGGCTCCTAAAACCAAAAATGTTTTGACGCAGAGCACCAGAAGCCTCCCGAAATTTTCGATTTCTTTTCGTATCCGGCAAATTGGCAATTTTGGCAACTGGGACCGCAAAGTAGAAAGTAGAAAAGCGAACCTTGAGCGACTCCTTGTTGACGGCCGACTTCTCGAGGGGCACATCAAGCATATAGCGGGTGGGCAGCAGATGGGTGTATGAGACGACCTTGACGAAGGGCTTCACCTTGTTGCGGCTCTCTTGTTGCTTCTTGCCCATGCGCGTCGTCACCTGAAAACAATAAACCATCATATAACCGTGAATAAACGCTGTTGGAGCAGATCCAAAAGATTAAAAAAACCAAAACAGACGTAGCCGGCACAAGGCCGGCTACGCCGGAAATCATGGCCGTGCCCACGTTTTTCGCATTTGGTGCATGAAATTCAGTTTTAGTAATTCGCAAGGAAAAAGTCGCAAGCAAAGCCAGAGGTTCGATGACTAGCGGATTAATGAAATTTGAAGCCAAGCGCTTCTTGGATGTAGCCCTCACCTTGCGCGGGTACTTGTTGATTCCGGCGATCAGAGCATGCGGGTACGTCCTCTCGGCGGATCCCTCATCGTAGGGCTTGACGATGACGGCCTTCCTGCCGGCGTACTTGCCACGCAGCACCAGCACCACCTTTCCGGACCTCATGATTTTCGGCATGGCGACTGATGGAAGTTTCCTGAACGGGGATAAAGACAGTGAAAACAAAGAGCGGCGGCAAAGATACAAAAATAAAAGCCGTCACATAGCAGCTCACTTCAATATCAATTTTCCTAAAACTAAGAAGCAATTTATTGTTCCCGTCGGGCGCAATTCTTATCGAAAAAACCCAAGTGAGGGCCAGGGAGCGATGCGTTAAATGTGCGTGCGCCAAAAATCGGTCGGTTACAGGATCAACAACGGGAAGCGAAACAACTATTTGGTGCTGTCCTAAAAAAATAACCTGAATAGGGGAGGGCAATGGAGGGAGGTGAATGATGATGATGATAATTCGGGGAGCGGGGAAATTGAGCTTGTGAGATCGCGGACGAAATGCGAGCACCGGGGGTGGTGGTTGCCGGTAGGCGGCGGGTGCCCACGGCGTTGTGAGTGTTCGGTGGTCAACATTATATAATTCTAACAGACACGTAATGCGACGGGGCTGAGGAGGGGGTCATGTGAAAGCTGAGCAGAGATCATCTGGGGGAGAGGGTCAAAATGTGTACATACACCGGGTAATAGATGCTGAAATGATCGGTTCTGTTCTATTTTCCGGGGGTATATCTGCGCTCACCCCGATCCCCCTCCCCCGGCAAACAGAACAGCACCCAACAATCAATAAACATAGATATCTATTGACTGGTGACTAGATGGCGTGAACGGCATCTTGTTGGTGTCGCCGCTACAGATCCAACGAAATGTCGGCCGGGTTGATGGGACCGGTCTCCAGTGGACGAGAATCTAAAGAAATTAATGAAGTAAGGTACGCTGTAGTATTCCTTTTTTATACCAACTTTGCTAGGATCTAGTTTTCTCAAATCTAAAAAAGTGAAAGTGTTTCCATACATGTAAACTTTACAAAATTGTATTACAAAAAATGTCAAAACATAGCTTTCTCAACCAAAATTGGACTTTTTCAGAACGTCTAGATGCCTATAGATTTTTGCTAAAAAGACCATTAAAATACTTGCTATAAAATTATACGTTACCATCCATGGTGACCACCGTGTTGCGGCGTTGCGGTTGGGCGAGCGAGGCAGTGCCGTTGAGCATAGCCGCTAAAAAAATAGTTACTAGAGAGCTGATTAGAAAGCGTACCACGCTGTGGGAAAGACGATCCACTCTGGTTGAGGACGGCGTTCAAACGTAGTCGCGCGGTTGCAGTGGCGACACCCGTCCCGGGCTTGGGCCTCCCCAGCGGGATCAGCTGCGACGAGGGAGGGTGTGAAGCGAAAGAGGCCGTCGGAGGGGCCGCCAAGTTGTTGTAGGCGGGGCCCGGGGCGGCGAGCTTTGGCGTTTGGCTGCCGGGGGTGGATAGCATCGGTGGCATCGTGGGCTGCGCGTTCGAGGCCATCGGAAGAGGTGGCGTCGAATTGAGATCCACGGGGTAGGGCTCCATCCTGAAAAAATAAATGTTAGGAAGCGGAAAGAAAAGGCGAATGTGTTGCCTGGACCGCTCGAAAATTTGGACCGCGCTTTATAGCGTAACTCTCGCGCTTAAGTTATGATTTTATAGTACATTTTTTAATCAAATAAACAGACTTTCTCTTCTTGTTGTTCGGCTCGCCGGGGTGGTGATGTTGCTGTTGTTGTTGGCCGAATTGCTGGATGGGCGCCGGGGCGTAGTGTTGTTGCGGCGGCTGCACGAAATCTCTGCCTACAGGCGCGGGCAGCGAATGCCTAGAAAAGAATATTAACCTTCAAACGATCTTCTTACGTTGGGCTGTCCGGAGCAATGTCGCGCGGGGTCAAGCCAGACGCGACCTCGTCAATTGACGTCGACACGGTAGCACGTTGGCGGGCGGCACAGCTGCGGGGAGCCGGCTAAAAAATATATTTATTATCAGAAAGTCTAAACTAAATAGTCTACTTTCAATCATCACCTTGATTAGCTGGTTGGAGACGTGCAGGGCCTTGTTGAGGAGCAGCGGCTGAAGATCGGCGCGCGGTTGGTATGTGTAGTCCTTGGACAGGAAGCTGACAATGTGCTCCTGAAATCAGATGGGAATTGTAAAAATCATGAATACTCCCAAATAAGCAAAAAAACCACAAAACGATAAAAGCTCACCAAGTATGCCCGCTCGATGATCTTCTGCGTGACGCGCTCGTGGGCCAGCAAATTTGCGTAGACATTCAGCTGGGTGTTGCCGCCGTGGACGATGACGAGACCGGTGGGCGCTAAATTGACATATACCTCGATACCAGAGCAAAACATACAAGTCATATTACGCCGCAGCCGGTTCATCACCACGTCGTTGAAGTCGGAGGCCTGGTCGCCGCAGATGAACAGCGTCGGGCAGTACGTCAGGCAAATGTCGTCGTCGGCGCTCTAGAAAAGATGAATAAAAAATATATTGAAAACCAACCCCTCGCGCCCCCAGAGATGTGATGGCAGGGAAAGCGAAATTGATGAGCGCCGAGATGCCGGGAGTCGTCTGGACGACCTAAATTGGGGTTTTCAAAGTATAATTTTAATTACCATATGGTTCATGTAGGTACTGGTGCCCCATCCGACCAACACGACGCGCTTGTCTTTGTTCGACTTGAGTGCAGTGGTCACCTGGAGATGAACAATGAGAAACGTGGTATTTCGCTGACGCGTCAAATTAAAAATTCCATAGAAACTAAAGCACGTAAAAACGAACCGCCGACTTGATCAGGTCCACCGCCTTCAGATTTGCCTCGAGCACGTTGGCGCGCTTCATCAGCGTCGTCAGGTCGAGCGTCACACGCACCGATGAGTGCGAGATCTTGCCCAGCATCCTGAAGAAGAAGATATCATATTGGAAAACCTAGAAAACCCATACTTGTAGACATATTTGTGGCAGAGGATCTGCTCGTCGAACCACTTCTCATGGTGCACCGACGGCGAGACGAGGACGAACACGACGTCGTCGAGCTCTTTCCGCTAAAAAAAAGTTCGTGAAATGAGATTAAACCCAATCAGCAAAGCACGAAATCTTGAAAACACACCATTGTTGTCTTGTGCAGCTCGGTGAGATTTGGATCGATCAGCGCGCAGTTCGTCTTCATCGTCATAATTTGCGCCACCTTTTCCCAATCGGCGCCGACGTGGGGATTCCGGGCCAACAGGGCCGCCGGATGCTCGTCGGTCAGCGCAGCGATCAACTGCAGCGGCACGTCCTTCAGCGAGTCGTTCAACACGTTGACGTCGTAGTTATTCTGGAATTAAGAGTTGATTAACACCAAAGAAAAATTCATTCTCAAAAAATTTTTTTATAATTTACTTATATCAAAAACCACTAAAAACTATTTATTAAAAATATACAAGTATGCTTCCTCCGAAATCACTGACCAGTGCCGAGCTGTGGCGCAGGATGAGTATGTAGCTGGCGAGCAGATCGGCGGGCAGCAAAGCCATCAGGTAGCGGTGCACCTTGAGTCCCTGTTCCTTGTAGGCCTAAAAAAGTCATAAAAATAGTGCAAGAATTCGGTACCCGATTGAATATGAGCATCACGTCGCGGAGGGCATCTCCCTGCTTCTTGGAAAGGACAAAGTGTATGCTGGCGCCATTCTGAAAGAAAGGAATAACAAAAAAAACCTTCAATTGAATACCCGCTCAAGATCCAGCTCGCAGGAGTAGTCGACCATGCTTTGATCCTGGATCAGCTGCACCATATCGGCGAACACTTTGCTAAAACAGGGTCAGGTAAATAAGGCAATTCCGAAAAGCTCTTACATCGTGGCATATGTGGCCCGATCGTCTTCGTCGTATTGCAGATGGTCAACCGAGTCAAGCTCCAGTCTAAAAGAGCAAGATAGAGCTGCATACTTTTTCGAAAAATCACATTTTCGTCAGTTATAAACGGAAAAACTTTTCCAAAAATTAGAATTTCGGCAATCCTATCCACGGTAGGGATCAAAACGTTGAATAGTCGCATTTTCAAAGCACAAGTTGTCGAAAAATCACTTTCCATCAGCGAAATATAGAAAAAACACCGTGCTAAAACTACTCACCTATCGACCAGCTCCAGCGCGTCCGAAATCCCCCACTCTTGCTGAGACGGCACCTCGCCGTTGCGTTGCGCGGGCATGGGCGTCGGTCGCGGCAGTAGTCGGCATATTTCGGCAGCTCCCTAAAACGCAATTTCAAAAAAAAAGTCTGAGGAAAACGCACCGCTCTGGCCTCCTCGAGATGTTGGAGGCGTTTTGTTGGAAGCGGAGGGAACAGTCGAGAGTCCGTTTCCACGCCCATCACATCGATCACAGCGTTCTCGTTCGGATCCGGGCAGTGGTCACTAAATTAAAATGATCAAGTTTGAATCCAACACTCTAATCAAAGTGTCACGAATCGTGAAAATCGTGACTCACGATAAAACCCACACTTCAGGCAAGATCTCGCGGTAGAACGGGTCGGAAGTAAAGTCATTCATCGGCCCCACGATTTTCGTGTAGCTGAGCCGATTGCGCACCAGAAACTCGGCGAACGTCATCTGAATGAATTGAGTTAATCAAAGATTGGAAAACCGAATATTCCACACTAGACTGGTGCCCCCAAAAAACTGTTTTTTTGTTTGCTTACTGTTTTAAACTGTTTTCCAATTTTCGCCATTTTGAAGGCTCGCGAAAAAAGAGAAAACAACCCTTCTTCGCTTTTCAGATCTGATAGATTAGTTCGGGCTTTTACGATCGAAAAACGTAGCGATATATTCCTGATTTTGGACTCCAAAATAGGTTTGTTTTCACGCATACGCATGCGAATGAGCACCAATTTGAGGCAACAAAAACAGCCAGTTTTTTTCGCAGTTCCGTGAGCTTTAAAGTCGTGCAAAAGAAAAACAAGATTACGGCAGGGTGGTGAAAAAGCATACCTGCTTGGGGTCCCGTGCCATCGATGGTGTTGGGGACATCGCCTCGATGTGCTGGCCGGGATCCGAGATGCTGTTGACGTCGAGGGACAGCTTGCGAGGGCGACCCACTCTTCCCGGCTTTGCTTTGT